GACGGGCGTAATGGTGTCTCATAGTAGAGAAAAATGCTTGATAAATTTTGACTGGATAATCGACTGTATTATCAAGGTTTTTTTTTGAGCGATTAATGGAGTCCTGCCGAAATCTGTAAACCCTGCTGTGCGGAGAAGAAATGAGAGTGCGGGGTTTAAGGCGTGTCGGATCCGGGTGGGTACCCGGGCTTTTAATACTGATCCAATTTCAGACCCGACTAGGAGTCATATTAATGTTTTTAGTTTTTTGCTTTGTATGTTAATTTTTATTTTTATTTTTCAAAATAAATATTATTAAGATTTTTTGATAGATTTCATAAATAAAACACATAATCTTAATCCTCATCCATTACTTCACAATGGCCTAGAACTGGCTTTGGCCTTATCGAACCGAGTGGCTCGCGAGCGCTCGAGTAAAGCTCGACTCGAGCTCGAGCCCATATATTGTACTGTCGAGCAGCTCGAAATATATGGGAAGTTATTAAAATACCCTTATATATATTAACATAGGTGCTTAATGGTTATTTTAATTGCCCATTTAATAGCCGTTGGTCTGACAATGCCGGTCTGTAAGCAAGTCCTGATCTTAGACAAAAAATCGACATTAGGATCAAAATACTAACATAGGTGCTTAATGGTTATTTTAATTTTCCACTTAAAAAATTTCGAGTCGAACTCGAGCTGAGTTCGAGCATTTTGATTTCGAGTCGAGGTCGAGCTATTGTAATTTTTTATCGAGTCGAGATCGAGCCTAAAAAATCGAGCTCGAGCAAAAAAAAAAAAAACAAAAATCAGTACTGCTCGATAAGACCAATGCTCGACTCGGTTCGACTCGTTTGCCGCCCTAGCCTTGCCTTAGTTGATTTTTATCTGATTAATATGATTGACTGGCTATTTTGGTACTGTTGTTTACAGGCCATATGCATCAATTCTAGAAATTTACTATAGTAGCTTTTAAGGTACTTGCATGTAACAAGAACATAGACTTAGATTTTCATATCACAATCATATAACACTTGAAAAAACTCCACATAAGTTCACACCCAAACAAAAGCACAGGAAAAAATGAAAATATCAAGCATTAGGCATTAATCCTTCTGCAGTTCTTTCTGATTTCTCCCCTGTTCCCGGTCAACGGCGAAATATTCCCCATCTTAACCATCGACTTTGCAAACTGCTCGAAAAAAAGCTCGTTATTCTCGGCATATTTCTTCACGAGCTCGAGCGACTGTCGGTTCTTAGTGACCAGAACTTGGTCAGAACTCAAAAGGCCTTTATTGCTCAACAGATTCTTGAAGTAACTGTTGTCGAATTTCGTAGGCGAGACAGGGTCTAAGACGAACAGGTTCTGGTCCCCACCGGATCTCGGGCACCCGGCCCGCAGCTTGGCGGCGTACGATTGGTCAAGGGTGAAATCGGGTTTCGAGTTTCCTGATTGGTTGTAGAGCCTCTGCCTGAAGCTCACACATCTAGCATTTCCTATGGTGTGGCTTCCTGCAAGAAATTAATTAAGGTTATTATTGGTCGAAAGATTAAGTATATGATTGTTGATTAATGTTATTAATTCAATCAAGTGTGCAAAAGATAATTTAATGATGAAACAAGAAAATGTACCAGATAATGCAACAAGATCAACAATGTCCAAT